TCGATGATGATAATATATCAGTTGATGATTTAAGAAATGGTTCAATGAAATGTATATTTCAATCATCAAATGATTTACCGAATACAAATGAAATTTCGTTTACAACAACAAATAATCATGATTTAGCATCTTGTATGACATGGAAATATCCGCAAAGAAGATCAATACTTAAATGTCATATTCTTCCATTACCATTTCATGATGATTTAAATGGAGTTGTTGTGCCGAATAGAATAAAAACGGTAAAAAAATTGAAATTTCTTGATAATAAATATTTGATTTATATTTAGGTGGAATGTTTAATGCAATATTGGCATTTTGGTACAAAACAATTTGTTACTTGGCAAACAGTTGATTTATCTGATGGTCAACCAATGTTTCTTGATTTTAGTAATGATCTTGGTCAAAATCCTTATTCGGAAATGTGGCGTATTGTTTTACTTAATGCTTCATCTGTTATTAATCAAGCAAATTCTTTAGCTGCATCAACACGTATTGATTCATTACAAAGTCAACGTTTTGAACCATCATTAGAAATGACAATTAAAATATCAAATATTCGTTTACATTTTATGATAGATCCAACACAGGTTTCAATTTATTTAGAAAAAAAAAATTAATAGTAATGTTTTTTTTATCAATTTAGAAAGAAAATTCTTCTTCAAATTTTAAATCAATTCTTAATGGATGTCAACATGATGTTGCAACATTAACTTTAGATAATATATCATTTGATTATAGTCAACGTCTTGAAACAAGATTAATTAGTATTGAAACAATTCTATCACTTGAAACATTAGAATATCGTTTTTTAACAAAACGTTCATGTATTGAACCAGCTTTAATTAATCTCAATCTATTTATTGATGCATCAAAATCAAGTATATTAACACCTTCATCAGATATATTTGAATTAAATAATGGAAAATATAATCAATTATTTCGTTCAGCAAAATCTTCCGTTGTTATTCAATTACATTTTGATATTGATCATATTAATATTCGATTAAGTCAATCATTATGTCATTTAATTAATATTCTTTATCAACAATGGATTCGATCAGATATGATCAAAGTTTTAAAATTACATAAACTAACACAACGTGGTAAATAGCAATACATATCCTACTTTTTCTATTTCTCGTAGAGAAGAGTCCAGTAAACATAAATTGTCTGTTCGCAGGGTCAAAAAAACATCGAAAACGAATTTTCTAGAAAAGACATTTCGATGCAGTAAAATCAAAGGTGCCCCTCATATGCTCAGACTACTGAAGGTGGGTGGAGTATGAATTGTGAGAACTGATAGAAACCGAGTTTCTGAGTAATGCATTTGTATGGGTATCCAAATGTTCCCGTGCTTGTAGTACATAGTGTAGCGATTATAAACTGTTGGCTTTCGTGCGTATAAGGTTACTAATACTTCACATATTCGTTAAAGATTAGTTCAACAAGCCACTGATGCTAATGGCTCAAATATGTTTTGATCTGCGTTTACCATTGACTAGAATTCGAGTAGATGCTAAGAGTCGGGAATCACAAAGGAGAGTAAGGTTTTCAGTAAGTGTGAAGAGGATATATTTTTACTAGAAAGAGCTAAGCGAGTCTTTGGATGATCGTTACTTGTTTTTAAATCTATTTCTTTTCTTTTAGCTTTAGCTTTAACTAAAACTGATGATTTATTCTATTATACCTATTATCTATTTACAAATCATTTAAATTGTCCTGTTGGTTTGAAACAATATAATACAGCTGATAATTTTCTTGTTATTTCATCATCTGAAACAACCGATTTTGTGTGGTCAAATTTTCATCCAAAAGAAATGTTAATACAATTTTCTCTTGAACATACTTCTGCTGATCCATTTCAATCATCTCCGATCGACATTCATCATTCAGATAATAATACGAAACAAATCGTGCAATTTGAAAATAGTCCACATTTATTTTATTTACATATTTGTTATGATCAACATCAAATTCGTCGTCATATACATATACTTGGAAAATTAATATTTAAAAATCTTTGTAATATTGATTTAAATCTTAAATTATATTTAAATGTTGGTTCAAGACAAATTGATTTATTTCTATCAAATAATCAAACATATTTAAGTTGTTTACAAACAAAAGATGATATTGAATATATACAATGGAATTCATCAAATAAATATTCTATTGATCAATTAAATCAAGATGGAATTATTTCAACAAGTGAACAATTATCTTTATGGGTGCATTTATTTGAATATGAAAATTTAACTTGTATTATATTTACACCAATTGTTATTTATCGTTCATTTTTAACACAATCAGTTTTATTAAATTTAAATAAAACCAAATCATTTGTACTTAATTCAAATGGATACTATACATTTTATTATGATTTTATTTTTGATAATTCAAATAATACATATGAACATCATTTACAACAATTTGATGCTGAACAATTAACGGAATCTATATTTCAATTAAATAAACAATCTTATTTAACAATAAATCAAATAGAAAATCTACATACAGAAAATTTATCAATAATGGATTTTTTATTACAAACAAATAGACCTCATTCATCTGAAATAACATCATATTCTATTATTGATCTTCTTCGACAACAACATCTAAAATCAAAACAAACAGATGATAATATTCCTGTACCATTAATTGAACAAACAAATGAAGCTTTAAATACATCATTGATACCAACTATTGGTGCTAATGGACCATCTATGTATGAACAACAAATTCCATATCAAACAAAGAAAACTAATAATTGTATGTATTAATCTTTCGATATAATTTCAGAGTATATGAAGTAATCCGGAAAAGAAATAAATCCCCTCGGAAGGTTTTGTGGTGTGAGTGCAGATGAGGGTGTTGGTGTGGAAGAAGAGTAGTCTATGCCTATACATCTACGCCGACACTTACCCACACCCACCCATATCCTCATCCTCGCCCTCACCCATATCCCCAACACCCATCCTACATCCACCCACGTCCTTACCCTCGCCCTCACCCATATCCCTCAACACCCATCCTACATCCACCCACGTCCTCACCCTCACCCATACCCACCTACACCCATCCGACACCCACCCACATCTTCACCCTCACCCATACCCACACTCACCTACATCCATCCCACACCGACCCTCATCCACACCCTTTTTTCGTCTCCGGATTTCTTAACAACACCTAGTCTGAAACTAAAAAATTTCAAATTTTAGTAATTAATCCAACAAATATAATAACAAATTCAATTGATTGTCGTATTGAACCAATTCGTCTTTATTCACATTTAAATACAATTTTAATTCAATTAAAACCTTCGACATTAATTAATAATTTAACTTCATTTAATTTTCATTTATATGCAAATGATGGTCATGATCATATATATATTCATGCGAGTGAATTAACTTGTCTTTCAAAATTTGAATATAGTCAAATACAATTTGTTCTTATTGATCCACATGATGGTGAACATATACAATGTCAAACAATTGATTTACTTTTTCGAAATATTACAATGGCTAATTCATCAACTATGATTAATAATCGTTTATATACAAATGGTTCAATTGATTTATATTTTATAAAATCATCAAATAATGATTATTTTATATTTCATGTCAGACATGAATATATTGATCATACACATATATTAACAATTGAATCAAAATATCGATTTTTAAATCAAACAAATCAATTATTATCATGTTATATTTTACCAATATCAAGACAACAATATACAATTGATTATCCATACAATTCATTTCGTATAAAATCAAATGAAACTATACCATTATATCGTTTTCAAGGTATACCATCAACAGATTTAATGTATTATTTATTATTTCATAATGAAACAAATGAAAATCAATATATATCGAAACCAATTAAATTAATTCCAATAACAGATGAAAATGGAAATCGACAATGTTTTTGTTTATTTCGAAAAGATGAACAAATTAAGTAAATAAAATAATAAAAGCTTGTTTTTTTTTATTTAAAATAAATTTTATTTTTTTAGATCAAAAACATCATCTTTTCAAAGTTTATCAAGTGAATTATTTTCTATAAATCAATATGTAAAGACTCCAACAAGTCAAATAGATATTTCAATTAATTCCAATCCATCTTGGGCATTTTTACAAGTTATCAATTCTTGTTCATGTCCATTATTATGTCGATTAGAAAATATTTCATCTATGTCACATATCATTCCACCATTTTCATCAACATTTATTGGAATTGATTCACCAGATTCAACAACAATAAATAACACTACTGCTAATAATAATAATAATAATAATCTACAAAATTTAATGAATGGTTCAAGATTTTATTTAGCACAATTTCTACCAAATGATACTCCAAATCATATTTTTCAATTAATAACAAATTATTTTCAACAAACTACAACGAAAAATGTTCCATGGAGTAGACCAATTAAAATTGAATCACATTTAGAAGATGTTTTCTTACCAATACCCGGTATAAATTTTTATTCGAATATCTCTTACTGAGGATCCCGAAAGACGCGCACGAGCGTACAGATGCATGGGCGGCGCAGCTTCAATATTCTAGGGGGCGCAATTGCTGGCCCGTTGCTTGCTGACGTGCCGCCCATGTACAGATGAGGGTGATGTTGGAAGGATTCGTTTTCTTTCAAAATCTCTATTCCCACGCTCGTGTGCATCTTTCGTATAGTCTTCTTATCAGTAGATTTTGAATAATAATATATCTCCTATTTTTAGGATTACATGATGTTTTAATTCGTTCATTGCCTGCTTCACTCTCAGCTAGCCGAACGTTAATAATTGAACCTGTTCATCGTCAACGTTCATCAAAAACAACAACAGTAACAAAATCTAGTAATCATGTTAGAACAAATTCAGCAGCTAATTCGAATTATTCACCATTACCAGATGCTACAATTATATCAGAAACAATGCCACGTCATTATCGTTCGACAATATTGGAAAAAAGTTCACCAATAAGTACTCTAAATGCAACAACTCAATATTTAAAAGCTTGGCAACAACGTTATAATCAAGGAAATCATCGACAAGTTCAATTAAATTTTTTAGTTAATAAAATATCTGTTTCATTAATGGATGAATTAAGTGATATATGTTTATTTCGTGAAATTCTTCGTTTAACAATTGATAAAGTAAATTTATTATTTTATCAACGTTTTATTGATATTGAACCGTGTTTACATCAACAACAATTTTTTTGTTCAATTGATCAATTACAAATTGATAATCAATGTTTTAGTTCAAAAACTAATTATGATTTTCCAGTTGTTTTAATGTCAAAAGATGAAAAACGTGTTTCAAAAACAAAAACAAATGTTTATGAAAAAAAAGAACAAACAGAGTATGTATCATTTATTCTTCCGTTCTATTTCTCTTAATCTTTTATGAAACTAAAGTGATATGTAATAGAACATATCTTTAAAGGTAATTCTACTTGAAAAAGTACGTACTTGTCGCGCGCAGGTTGTCTGATAAAGCAAAGATCATAGCTTTCATAATAAAAAGAAGATAAATAAGCTAAATTTATATTATATAATCAGACGACGTGCGTCATAACAGTATCTATAAGGTTTAAAGAACGTCCAAAAAGGTCAAGATATATTTCAACTACCGAGATAAGAAAAAAATTAATAATTTAATCATTTTAAAGTGGATCATAAACACTTGACCTAAATCTATGTCAAATTTGACATAGATTATCATGTTAATACTAATCTGTAAATCATTGTGTAATTCAGAGAACTCTAATACATCATATTATAATGTCTAGTAAATGATTTTATTGTTTTTGAATTAATTAGATCAAATACATCTTTTGGTAATCATCATCGTCAAAATTCATCTTCATCAATTGATACAACACTTACAGAAGATCCATTACCAGCATTTGATTCTTTATCACACAATCATAAAATATCTCGATCAACATCTGTTAATAATAATAATGAACCAAAATTTCTTACCGTACATTTTCATCGTATTAATGAACGTTTTATTAAAATTGATTTTCAAATTCAATCATTTGATGTTTATCTTGAAGATCATTATGTTTATGCTTTATTAAAAATTTTTAGTCATTTATTACCACTTGATTTAAATTATCCAATGTATATAAAAGAAAATAATCCAAGAATTGAACTTATTGAAAATCAATTAATGAGAACACCATTTGTTTGTGAATCTTTATATATTGGTCCAATTGATATTGTTATTAGTGTACATGCATCTATGAAAGTTTATATTGGTTGTCATCAATTACCAATGTTTGTTGATAAATTTCAAAAAAATTATATCTATTCAACAAATAAACAATTATTAACATTGATAACTAGACATTATTTGGTTTCTTTATTAACACGATCACCACTTCTCTTAGGATCATTTGATTTATTAGGTAATCCATCGGTATTCATTCGTAATATAACAGATGGTATTTACGATCTATTTCATTTACCTTATGTTGGCATGAGTCGTGGTCCAAGTGGATTTATGATTGGTATATCTGAAGGTGCTACAAGTTTACTTAAACATTTTTCACTTGGTAATTCAATAAATTATTTTCTTTTTTTTCATTGTAATTTATTCTTTATTCTCTAGGTACATTGACATCATTAACAACATTTGCTAATAGTGTTGCAAGAAATATGGATAGATTATCTATGGATTCTGAACATACAACACGTACTGAAGAAACATGTCGACATATACCAACTGGCATGACAAGTGGACTTTTACAAGGTCTTGAATTATTTAGTTTAAGTTTATTAGGTGCTATAGCTGGTTTAGCTGAACAACCTTTAGCTTCCTTTCGTAATCGAGATGATTCTCAAGCAGCAACAACAACTGTTTTATCCGGTGTTGGTAAAGGTCTTGTTGGTATTGTTGCTAAACCAGTTGGTGGTGTTGCCCAACTTATTTCTCAAACAGGTCAAGGTATTCTTTATGGTACAGGTTTAATGAATATTCCACATAGACGACATAGACAATTAGAACAAGATGCACGAATAAATACAAATATAAGTTATCTTAAACTTTCACATAAATGTCAAATAGGAAATAATCAAGATGAAATTCTTGATATATTAGATTATGTTCTTGAACATCATAATATTGAACATGGTATATTAATCTTAACTAAAAATGGACATTTAATTGATTATCATAAAGATGATGAAAATCCACATAAAGATTATTTATTAAGTGATACTGAATTAAGTGAATCACCTGATTCATCTGGTTTATTAATATTTAATGATCTATCATTTTATGTTGATTCACGTCTTCGTCATCAATTTCTTGCTCTATGTCGTCTTATTCGTCAATAATATTTTTCTCGAAATTTAACATTCAAGTATTGAACTGTGATTTGTTTGTTTTTTTCTCTCTTTCATTTTTCCTTGTTTCGTCTAACTTTTTTTCTTTTCTTTGTTAGTCAATTCTTTCTTATTATTTATTATTTCTGTTAAGGTTTTATTTCCATTTTTAATCGACTCATAAAATATATATATATTTATGCAGAACAGTGATCACCTTATGATCACATTTAAATAAGAAAAGAAAAGAAAAGAAAATAATTTTTAGGTCATTGAATCTGATATGTTGCGTGTGCTAAGATACATCATTAAGTCTTAGGAGACTAACAATGAAACATCTGATACATAGAGACATGTTTACGTCAAAAAATATATGAAATGTAACAGATGTTACATTAGAAATTTTTTATTGCGTCGAAAACATCAGATGATTATTTTGTTCTTATTCATATAAATCACAGAATAAGATATTATCTCTATCTTGTACATATAGGAGTATATTTTGAAGTACTTGATATAATATCGAAACTATGAGTCTATTCAAAATAAAGTATTTGATAACTACAAGATAAATGCAAATTACTAGTTATTCAATGAAAAGAATATATCAGTTAAAACATGTATGTAATTATATGATAGATTGCTGGAAAAAAACATATTTCTATTGTATGTTTTATGATAAAGAATGAATAGACCTTTTACGGATTAACGACATGATATGATCTGATTTATTAACGTTTTATAGATAAAATAAATTATGAACTATTTTTTGGTAGGATCAAGTTACAGCTGCTTGATATTTCGACCTACTTTTAAAATAAAGATAATATTTTATAAGTAAATATAACTGATATATATGATTCACTCCATCTTATCAAATATGCTTCGTATAAAAAAGAGCTCAAACAGACCATACACTCAAGGATTTCACTTTAGATAATTTTCATTGCATAATCAATATCAGATGTTTAGTCTTTTCTTTTCTAATAACCACTTCACATAAAAATTATTCTTAAAGCGATCAGTTTGATTGAACAATAAAATATTATTTTGTGATTACTCTGTTCAATAGAATCATATATACATTATAAATCTTTAGATTCCTTCCAATCTTTCATTGATCATAATGTTGTACATTAATTCTTATAATATTTGATTGAAATATACTCATTGACGTTTCTACAAGAGTGTTGAAGGTTGCCTATCAAGTTTAACCACACAAAAGATAAGATTTCCATACTAAAACAAGTTATCATTTAGAACAAAACCGTCCTTGAAGAACAAAAATTAATAAAATACATACTTATATCTATAATATCTTATCATTCACCTTTGTTCTATGAGTCTTCAATATAAGAAAAAAATATCTTATCAAGATTTTCAACTTTGAGACTTTACACATTCAAACATGACTTCGCTAAATTTTTATAATTGATTCACAATCATCATTCGATTAGTATTAAAATTATAACTCTATGAATAGAAATGATTTTATTTAAATCGTTTTTTTATCAGTTATATGTCTGACATAAAAAAAAACAGAAATCGAATACATTTAATACAAACTATCATATGTGTTTCTCTACGTTATTAAACGAAAAAAAGAAAACCGTTTTTTGTTTGTTATGAATAACAAAGTATGAAAGAAGAGAGAACTGAGAGCCACTTCTAAAAATGAACAGATAAGGAACGTAATAAGTATTTTCAATAGGAAAGGAAAGAAAAAAAGAATTTTCACCGAATGTTAAGAGATCCATTATGGCTGAGGACTATCCATTCTCAATACATACTGACAATATATAAATAAATGAGCAAATGAAAGACTAGAGAAATAAATGATTACATGAAACGAAAAAAAAAGAAAAAATGAAAAAAAAAAGATAATTAATTTTCCGTTAATAATAGTTGTTTAATACGCATTTGAAATAGAACATACTGTCGATGATAATTTCGTGCTA